TTTGCGCCCCCTGACCTGATGGTAAGAATCGATCTCTGGGACTCTTCTGGGGTGTCTTCTGGCCAAAATTTCGGGTCGGATTCCGACGTGCCCACGAGGGCGCCCCATGACGACCAGAAACCTGACGAAAGCGAGCCTCGATCCTCGAACCCCCTGGACGTCTGGGCCCTCCCCTTGCCGCCCTTGCCCTTGCTGCTCGCGTGCGGGCGCGCCCGCGGTCTCGAGCAGGGTTCCTCGCACCGCGGTCCTGATCGCGGCCGTGCTGCTTCGCGGAGGCCCTGGCATGGTACTCTAGCTGCTTGCGGTGGCCATCCCCTTTCAGAGAACTTCTCCTCGTACCTCTGGACTTCCGCCTCCTAGGGGACCTCGTCCGCGCCCTCCTGGGTCGCGAGGTGGATCTGCGAGTTCACCAGGTGGTGCCTCATGTGCCTCAGCACCTGGCCGCGCCCCCCGCATGGCCGTGCGCGCGCACTCTTCCGCGCCTCGACGCTGCAGTCTGCCCCAGCTGGGCATCCCGCTGCCTGCCAGCAGCCGCGCGGCTGCCCGTCGTCCTCCTCGGCCGCCGCGGACATGCCCTCCGCACCTCCGCTCCGCGAGGACGGCAGGCGCCGGCGCGCGGCTCTTGCAGGCGGCGCGCGGCCTTTGCCCCAGACAGCCGCGGGCTGGCAGGCCAGAGATGCAGCGCCAGGCGCGTGAGGCGGGCGCTCGACTGCTTGTGGTTGCAGCGCAGTGCGCTGTGAGGGTCGCCGCTGGTGCGCGTTCACTGCGAATTCGTTTCCTATGGTCTATGCCAGGAGGAGGAGGAGGAGGAGGAGGAGGAGGAGGAGGAGGAGGAGGAGGAGGAGGAGGAGGAGGCGGAGCAGGAGCAGGAGCAGGAGCAGGAGCAGGAGCAGGAGCAGGAGCAGGAGCAGGAGCAGGAGCAGGAGGAGCAGGGGAGCAGGGGAGCAGGAGAGCAGGAGAGCAGGAGAGCAGGAGAGCAGGAGAGCAGGAGAGCAGGAGCAGAAGGAGCAGAAGGAGCAGAAGGAGCAGAAGGAGCAGAAGGAGCAGAAGGAGCAGACGGAGGAGGAGGAGGAGGAGGAGGAGGAGGAGGAGGAGGAGGAGGAGCAGGAGGAGGAGGAGGAGGAGGAGGAGGAGGAGAGGGGAGAGGAGAAATGAGGACATAGGAGCAAAGTGGGGGGATACGTCAAGCAGAGGGAGAACTATCGAATAGTAGGAGGAAGCGGAGGGGCAGGAGGAGCATTGGAGAGAGGACGAGGAGCATGAGTGGGAGAATCCGTCTTCGTCGTCGTCGTCCCCTGGTCTCCAGTGCCCTGTTTTCTCTTCGCGGCGCGGAGCTTCCCCGCCGTTCCTCGGGTTCCGTTTCTGTTCGGCCCGAGTCGTGTTTCTGACGCTCCCGCGGGCCGGTGAGGGCCCGCGGGGGCCGAGCCGACACTTTCTGACTTTCATGTCGGCGCCACCCCAGCATGCTCATACCACGTGCGCGTCGTCCCCGGAGGGGCGTCGCGCGCGCCGAGAGATCTCAGAGCAATCGGAGGTGGATGGAACTCCTGCCCTGACACGTCGATTAGTGAATTGGCCGTTTTCGATTCGCGAGAGGGCGTCGCGGCCGTCATTTCTGCGGGTCCAGGCCCGTCGGTTTCGGTCCCAGGCCGTTTTCACTAAAGGGAAGTTTACTAAAGGGAGGTTTGTCCACCGCCGAAGCATGAGCTCCGTGGCGGACGATCTCTGGCCGTACCGCTCGGGGAACGATGTACTGCAAAGATGGTTGTACCATACGTCAGAGGAGCAAGACGTACCCATACCGCTGCCCTTCCCTCGTTTTCCATGTGTGGGCCTCCTGGGAGGCACTCGTCGCCGCCGCTGGATTTGCCTCGAAGTCCTGTTCAGAACGCACCCCGGGAGAGGTTCGGGGAGCAGCGGTGCCGGTACTTTGTGGTTTCCCGAGGATGTTCGGGTCGGACGCACGCCTCCGAGGAGGACACACTGCACCCGTGTTGCGGGCAATACTTCTATCCATATCCAGAGCGTCTTGGAATGTTTGGGAAGGGGTACCGCAAGGCCGAGTCGCACTGGCTATGGATAAAAATCGAGCTTTGGGGGGCCAGATGTTTACCCATATCCATTGCGCCTCCAGTGTCTGGGGAAGGTAGCCCAAAACTCCAAAATTCACTGGATGTGGATTCAACTATTGCCCGCACGTGTATGTCCTTGCGCGTCCCACTCTCACGACGCGAGGGAGGCCCGGGTCGCCGTCTCCGCCTGGGCGCCGCTGCCGCCGTCCTCGTCGTCGGCATCTCGCGGGCGCAGGCCGCGGCCGCGGCTCGGGGAGCCGCGGCCCCGGCCCTTCCCCGGGGGGCCCCACGGGGTTCCGACGCCCCTCTGGGCAGAGACCGTCTCCCCCCGATGGTCGGGGGCGGAAAAGAGGGGGGCGACGAAGGCGCAGAGACTTGTCGCAGATCTGCTGGAAGCCTTCGGAGCAGATTTCCCCGCAGCTTCGGCAGGGAAGGCGAGGCTGGGGCGAACCAGTGCTGCAGCCGATCCCCCGCTCGAGCCCTGTCGCCCACGCAGGCGGCACCTGGGTTCGTGTTCCCCTGTCTGCGGGCGGTCGCGGGGCCCTCGGTGGGCCGCCCTGGGCGGTTCGCGGGTCGCTTCGGGGCCAACGGGCAGCGCGTCAGGTGCCAAGACCGTGTCCCGCAAGTCATGGAGCAACAGGCGGGGGCGGAAAAAAGGGGGGTGATGACTAGGGGGGGGGATATCATGGCGGGGGCCATGATATTTCCCCAGATTTCATGGCGCCTCTTCTTGTTTCATGACGTTCCTGGCCCCCCCGCTGGGCCGCGCACGTGCCGCCGGTCATGATTTGCACCCCCCCCCCTCTTGGACACCCCCCTCTTGGCCGCTCCCGAATGCAGAGATCGTCTCCCCCCGATGGGGCACCCCAGGGTCGGCGGCGAGCGAGGGGGGGAGGCGAGAAGGAAAAGGCCTTCTCAGCAGGCGACGGGGCTGCTCAGGAGCCTCTGGCCTGCTGGCCCCGTCTCCCGGGAGGGCTCATGGAGCTCCTCGGGAGGCCAGGGGGACTTCCGAGCCTTCTGAGGAGGCCCGCCCCTCTTCACTTCCCCCCCCCCCCAGGGCTCGCCGCATCAGGGGGGGTGGGTGGGGGCGAGTGGCGCCGGTCCATGTCCAGCGGGACACTGGGAGGCGGTGGGCATGGATGGGTGTGGGCCCCAGGGGGGCTCACGCGTGTCCGCAGCCACCGCCTCCCGCGGTCCCAGGGCATCTGGCCCCTGGGCGGCGCATCTGGCCAACCTCCCCGCCTCGCAGTCGGTTTGGGGTCCGCGCAGCTCTCCACAGGGCCGTGGCTGGCAGGTGCCGTCGCCGCCGCAGGCCTCGCCCGCAAGTTGTGGCAGTACTGCTTGCTCTGCTGCTGCCCGCCTTCTTTTCCGGGGGGTCCCCACCGCCCCTCGCCCCCGCGTCCTCCTCCCCACGTTCGCCAATCGCCCCTTCCCGGCGCTTCTCTCGGCCAGGTGGTGCGTCTCGGGCAATTCTCTTTGGCCGCTCCTCCCCGACAGCTCTCCGTCGTGCACCCCGCCCACGCCCTGGTGCGCCTGGGGTGGGGCCCAGGGGTGGTGCGGGGCGGGCTCCCCCCCACATTCGCCCACGAGTGCGGGAGCACACCCGCGCTGTTCCGACGGGGGGGGAGCTAGAGACCAGCCCACGCCCAACGGAGCGGCGCAAAACAAAACAAAAACGCGCTTGCCTGCGCCGACGTTGGCGCGGAGGCTGCCCGCGTGAGGTCGCGCGCAAGAAGCGCCCTCGTCTCCAGTGCAGCGCGCCGCGCTGCGTCGTGGCCCGCGTGAGCCACCGCGTGAGGTCGCCACGTCTAAGACCCGTGCGGATCGTCGCTCGGATGCGGTTGGCGCTGGCGAGGTGGCGTGCGGGGGGGCGCCACCCCGTCCGCTCACTGCGCGCTAATTACGTCATCCCCCGCCGCGTGGGGCCCGCGCGTGCCGACGAGGCCTTGGAGAGAGGGGGACGGCGTGCCCGGGAGGGCCTCGGGTCGGGCGAAAGGGGGGGTTTGGGAAAGGGGGGGTCACGAAATCTGCTGCATGCAGCTGGTTTCGGCCCCGCCGCTGGGCCCATTCCTCGATGCATGTGGGCGCCTCCCGGCGCCGGGAGGCGACGGGAAAATCAGCTATACGGGAGCTGATTCTCACCCCCCCCCCTTTGCTATCCCCCCCTTTCGCCCGACCCGAGAGGGGCCCTCGCGGGGGCCATCGCCTCGCAGGGAGAGAGCGTGCTTTTTGGAGACGGATGCTGCTCGCTGCGCTTCGAAGACCCAGGGCTCGCGAGGGACAGGCTTCCCCTCAGCACGACGAAGGCCCTTCCAAGACCCTCCCGAAACCTTGCGAAAAGCTTGCCAGACACCTTCCTGGAGGGTCTTCGGGGTGTTTCGGGAGGGTTCCCGTTGTTTCGAAAAGGAACCAGACCCCAGGGAACCTTGGGCTTTGTTGTCCTTCCGTCGCCAACTTGAAGGGCAACGATAGGGGGGGACTGGCACAGAGGGGGGCAGCGACCCGGAATCGGCGATCGGCGAACAGTCGCCGAAAGATCGGCGACAGGCTCCCGATCGGCGAACCCGCACGCTCCTGAGCAGGTGGGGGCTGTCGGGCCCTTCTCGGCGATCAATGGGCGATATAACCTAGAGGAAAGAGAACTATGCACATACACCGATTCTGGCCAGGCCCATCCTGAGCCCAGGATCGGTGCATACGCCCTCCTGCCTTGGCCAGGAAGGCATATGCACCGATCCCTGGTCCAGGATGGGCCTTGCCAGGATCGGTGCATGTGCATAGTTCTCTTCGCCCGATAACCTTGTCAAAACTAAGTACGGCGTCGGCATCGAACCTCCGCTCAGACAGAGGAATACCGTCGGGCCCGCCACGGGCGTCGCGCCCCCCCCCCCCTCTCGCGGAGGGGGCGGGTCCTGCCCCGCCCGGCAGGCGTCGACGCTCAGCGCGGCGAGCCCCCGCGGCTCCGCTGGGGAGGAGCGGGCTGAGCGCGAGGGGCCCAGACCCCCTCGAGTAATGAGAAAGTCCTGACGGGAGGTTTTTCCCAATTTTCGGCCTCGGGGGGTCCTCACCGGGCCTCGGGATCGTCAAAAAACGACTCAGGATGCAGAGCCGGTCCTGGGGAAAGGGTCGGGACCTCTGGGGGTCGACGTAATGAACAAATCATTACGTCGGGGGTCTGGGGGGAGGCATCCGAGGAGGAAACGGTGCCCATCTCGCTACCCTCTAGGCCTCCTAGGTGGGGTCGGAGCAGGTGGGGTCGGAGGATCGCTCCGCATCGACGATGCATCAGCGATGCGGCTCGATGTGGATCCCGATCTGCTTCACGTCGACGTCGCCGGTGCATCGCCGACGTCGACGATGCATCGCCAGTGCATCACCGATGCATCGCCGATACATCGTCGATGTACCGGCGATGAGGAGGAGGGGGGGGGAGGGGGAGGAGGAGGAGGAGGAGGAGGAGGAGGAGGAGGAGGAGGGGGGGGGGGGAGGAGGAGGAGGAGGGGGGAGGGGGAGGAGGAGGAGGAGGAGGAGGAGGGAGGAGGAGGAGGAGGAGGATGAGGAGGAGGAGGAGGAGGAGGAGGAGGAGGAGGAGGAGGAGAGAAGGAGCTGGAGGAGGAGGAGGCCTCTAGCATCCGAGGAGGAAGCGGTGCCCATCTCGCTGCCCTTCCCTCGCGTGCTCCCCCCTTTCTGCCTGTTCGGGCCTTCCTGGGGAGGCCCATCATTTTTTCCACGCTCCGCGCGGCGAGCCCACACGGCCTCCGCTGGGGAGGAGCGGGCCGAACGCGTCGAAGAAGAAGAAGAAGAAGAAGAAGAAGACGAAGACGACACGCCACAAACGTAGACTTTTGGCGCTCCGCGCGGGTTTCTTGGATCCGCGCTGGGCCTCCCCAGCGGCGCCTCCAGCGCCGCCCCTGGCGCGCTCCGCGCGCCGGGGAGGGGTGCCCAGCGCAGGTCCAAGAAATCCGCGCGGAGCGCCAAACGTTTCTGTTAATGGTGTTGTTGTTGTTTCTTCTTCTTCTTCTTCTTCTTCTTCTTCTTCTTCTTTTTCTTCTCCTCTTTCTTCTTCTTCTAACGAAAGGAAGGGATGTCCGAGGAGGAAAAGGTACCCATGCCGCTACCCTTCCCTCGGCCTCCTGGGAGGCCCTCGTTTGCCACCGCTGGGTTCGCCTCGAAATGCTGGTCAGAACGCGCCCTGGGAGAGGTCCGGGGAGTAGCGGTATAGGTACGTTCTGCTTACCCCCGGACAGGGAAAAGGGAGGGTTGCGAAATCTGCTGCACGCAGCTGGCTTCCGCCCCGCCGCCAGGCCCATTCCTCGATGCAGGGGCGCTCCCCGGTGCCAGGAGGCGCCAGGAAAGCTAGCTGCGTGAGCTGATGTTCTGCCCTGCCCCCTTGCTGTCTCCGCCGAGAGGAGCGGCTCTCTTCTTGTTGGGGTGGGGGGCTTACAGTCGAGATCGATGACGAGGGTGGGCACGCTTCCCCCAGACCCCTCGAGTCATGACAAAATCATGACGCAGGGTATTTCGCTATTCTCGGCCCCTAGGAGGCCCTTGCCGGGCTCCCGGACCGCCAAGCAACGACTCAGGATGAAAGGTCGGTCCTGGGAAATGGGTCGAGAATTCTCGGGTCGACGTGTTGCAAGAGTCGTGACGTCGGGGATCTGGGCCAGATATATCGTTGCATCCTTGCCTCTTCGGTCTATCCGTAGCCACTTTCGATGGCTGGCCCCGCGCGAAAAGCTGCGACATCGGCGTCCAAGGGGCTTGCACCCTCATCACGCATCCTTGCTATCAACTTGCACTGTACTTTCAGGCCTCTCAAACCAAGATCCTCCCAAACTTCAGGCTCAAACTGGCCCCCTGGCCCCCGGTTTACAACAACAGTGGCTCCCGCCTGATACTTCCCCACAATTTCTTCCCAATCGCGCTCTCGCGCCCCACTTCCTCATAATTAGTCCTGGAATCGCGGAATCGCGCTCTCGCTCGGGGACTTCCTGACTTCCTCGCAAGTTATTCAGACGCCGCGCCCTCGACACTCAGGAATCACGCTCTCGTTTTGGATTTCATCACGAATCACTTGGGAATTGCGCTATCGCCCGAGACTTCCTTGCGATTCAGGCAGAACGAACGCGAAGGCCGCCCCACCGTATGTCCCCGAGTTGGGCCCCACTCGTTTTTTTCGAGTCGAGTCCTGACCTCCCAGAGTGCCAGAATGTGGCCTTGTAGACCTGGATCTATCAGGACTGCCTGAGACCTCGAGGGATCTAGATTCAGAGAGACCTCGAGGGATCTAGATTCAGAGGTCGTGGTGCTCAGTTTTGAGCCCTCATGGGAGGCCAGGGGAAACCTCGCACAGTCGGGGGTGGGGGTCGCCATGCCCCACCCGTTACCGATCGGTCGCTGAAAGTTGGTATTCACGGATTCCCAGATTCCAATTTGCTCTAGGCGCTTGATCATCTCAAGCGTCGAGTGGTTCTCACTGTTCTTTCTTCATCAGGGGGCGGGCGGAAACCTCATCTGCTCTCAACGCCTTTCTGCCTCATGGTTCTACCCACGTCTTCCGAACGATAGGGAGGAGGAGGAGGAGGAGGAGGAGGAGGAGGGAGGAGGAGGAGGAGGAGGAGGAGGAGGAGGATCACCACCCACCAAACCACCCCAACCCAACCCGAAGGCCGAAATCTGCCGTACATTTCTATTGGGGGGGGCATCGGGGAACATTGAAAGACACTCGTGGAACTCTCACCCCCCCCGATCCGAAATCTGGGCCTTCGAGCTAGGTGGGGGTGGTCTGGCAGGTCGTCAGAGGAGGCCCCCGGGGGGAGTGCGTCCCAGGACTCCGCCTCGCCCAGCTGCGCCGACAGCGTCGCGTCGAGCACGCCGCTGGCCTCCCCGAGGCGCGCGCCCCCTCGCGCGCCGCGCGGCGGGGCGGGGGCGCGCGGGTGGGCCACGGGGGCCCCGCCTCAGTGCAGCAGCGGCGCGCCCCTCGGAGCAGGGGACTGGCCACAGGACTTGGAAGCCACTGCCCCTCCGGTCTGAGGCAGCTGTACAGGAAGGGGCAGCAGAGGACAGAGCGTTTACGCAGCTCGGAGGAATTCGTGACAGAACCGGTCTGCCCAGGAGCCGGTGCTCCCCCCTCGGATCCGCGACGAGGGCGTAATTAGAGACTTGTCGCAGACCTACTGGAAGCCTTCGGAGCACATCTCCCCGCAGCTTCGGCAGGGAGAGCGGGTCCGGGAGGAACCAGTGCTGCAGCCGATCCCCCGCTCGGGCCCTGTCGCCCGCGCAGGCGGCACCTGGGCTCGTGTTCCCCTGCCCGGGGGCGGTCGCGGGGCCCTCGGCGGGCGGCCCGGGGGCCCGGGGGCGGCTCGCGGGTGGCTTCGGGGCCCTCCCACGGACAGCGCGGCAGGTGCCCAGGCCGTGCCCCGCAAGTCATGGAGCAGCAGCAGCACTTGCTGCCACCGCGCGCATTTTTCGCACGGGCTGATCCCAGCGCTGTAGATGGCTAGCGCGGGCGCGTAGACGTACAGTCGGCCCGGATTCGTAGGTCCGCCCTGCCAGATCAAGGGTACCTTGGTGTATTCCTATGGCAATGTGGCCCTCGGAAAGGTCTAGTGTGCTCTCGCGTGTCCTGTCCAACCAAGTCCGACTGTACGCCCACGGGCGTAGATTCGCATGCAGGGGAGAAGATGTTCTGCCGTCTCAGGGCCCTCTTGGGGGCCTCTTGGGTTGTCTTGGGGCGGTCTTGGGCGCCTCTTAGGCCGTCACGCAGTGTCGGAAGTTCGAAAAGGCGAGGACTTGAAGCAGATGCAAACACCATAAGGAACGCACTGCTATTGTTGCCTCTTCGGGCCCCCCTTGGGGGTCCCCTTGGAGCGCTCGCGGGGCTTGGGGGCCCTCTTCGCCCGTCTTGGGACCAGCTTGGGCGTGTAGGAGCTCTCTTGGGCCGTCTGGACGGCCTCGGCCACATTGCGCGCCCCCTCCCCCCCTCCCCCCCTTCCCCAGCCAAGTCGCCCCCACACCCTTTCTCCCGCGGCGCGGGAGCGGCCCTGGAAATGGTAGCACCCCCACCCCTTTTCCGAGCTGCCCCGGAAATGAACAAAAAAAAAAAAAAAAAACGCCCCAGAAATGGTAGGACCTCCCCCCCCCCCCCCCCGAGCGGCCCCAGAACCGGAAGAACCCCCGCCCGTGTCCCTGGCAGAGCCACCCCGTCAACCCACCCCCAGCAGAGCTGAGTTAAAGCTCAGGCCTTTTCGTTTTTTTTTTTGAAGCTCACATGCTGTACCGGCGGATTTTAGCATATTTGCACGCCGGTCGTTGAAAGCAGGTACTTCTGGATTCCCAGATCCCACTCTGCTTCAAGCGCCTTCCTACTGCAGGAATCGACCTGTTTTTGCTGTGTTTTTTTTGTTACTCTCTGGGAGGACCTGGACCCAATCCACTTTACCCGCCTTCCTACTTCATGCTTTTACCTACAGTTCAAACCCTAATAAGGACGCGCGACTTTTTTCAGGGTACCCTTGCGTCCTTGCTCTCACTTGCTCTTGCGTCCTTGAGGTTTTCGTCCTCCGCCGCACCAAGAATCCCAACTTCGGCTTCCAAGGGTCTTGCGTCCTTACCGCGCGTCCTTATTAGGGTTTTTGACTGTACCTCTTCCGACCGACGTGTACTGCGAATCGGGGGATCTCGCCGCACGGCAGGGGCCCGGTGGCTCCACCCGCCCGGGCAGCGCGCGCCTTTCCACTATCGGGGGCTTCTCGCCGATCCGTCGGCGACGTATCGACGGCTCCAGCCCCACAGCTAGGCGGCCACATGTGAACCCTGCCCCTACCCCCCACGATTTTTGAGGGGAGGGTGGGGTCCACTTCGCTCGGGAGCTCCCGAACGAAGTGAACCCCACCCTCCCCTCAGACATCGTGGGGGGTAGGGGTAGGGTTCACATGTGGCCCCCTAGCGGCGTCGGCGCTCGCTGCATCCTGCGGACCCGCCGGGTCCCAGAGGTTCACCCGATGCCGTCCTGATCGTTCCTTCGTCTTAATGTGTGTCGTCAGTAGAACCGACCGATCGCTAGAGGCAACCTTAAGTAAGGGGGGGAGGGGCTGCATCGACCCCCGATCGCCCATTGATCGCCGATAGGGGTCCGACAGACCACCCCGCCCAGGAACGTGCGGTTCCGGTATCGGTGGCACATCGCCGATCTGTCGGCGATGCATCGCCGATTCGAGCTTGATTTTCCACCCCCACCTTAATCGGCACCTCTGTCGTTGCACCTCGGCGAGCACAGCACAAAGACGGACGTGGGCGGCGACGAAGACGCCATGCCGGCGACAGGCGGCAGTGCTGGGCTGACGAGACGGAGGACGCGGGGCTGCTGGCCCCGCCACCGCCGCCGCCCGTGTGTGCCAGGCAGCCTCTCCGCCACCACCGCCGCCGTCCGTCCATCATCGTCCTCGCCGTCGTCCGTCGTCCGTCGTCCGTCCTCGTCGTCCCTCGCCATTCGGGAAACAACAAAATATATAAGCATCAACATTAGGAGCTCCGCACGGATTTCTCAGATCGTCGCTGGAGCCCCGTGGCGGCGCCATCGGCGCCGCACCTAGGAGTGAGGGGTGTTCAGCACCAATCAGCGCCGATCCGAAAAATCCGCGCGGACCGCCGACACTTCACGATTATGTGATCTTTTTTCTAGCCATCGTCTCGGGGGACATCAACTGACCGCGTCACCGATCCTGGCCAGTCCCACCCCTTGGCCCAGGGTCGATGCACGTGCCCTCTTGGCCGGGCCAGACAGGATTGTGGGTGATGATTCGGAGGGGAACTTCATGGCCGAGGTCATGGGATCTCCTCTGATGCAGAGGGTATTTAATGATGGACGCCCCCCTTAGCTTTCGGCGGGGAATAAAAACTCGTCCCGCCTCCTCCTCTTCCTCCTTCCCCTCCCTTCTCCTTCCCCTCCGTCCTTCTCCTCGTCCTCATCCTCCCCCTCCGTTCTCTTCCTCCTCCCCGCAGCGGTGGCGGTGGTGTGTGGAGAGGAGGAGAGGAGGAGGAGGAGGAGGAGGAGGAGGAGGAGGAGGAGGAGGAGGAGGAGGAGGAGGAGGAGGAGGCCGCCAGGCGTTGTGCGATGGGATTTTGGAGCAGTTCTCATTACCTCTCATGCATCCGCCGACGAGAATCATGAATTTCCAATTATCGTCGGGATCCCAATCCGTCAATCAGCCGGCGGAGACATGATTAATTTTCCCATCATTGCCCAGGGTTTATTAAAGACCCTTTGGGGTCGCAGATGGTCTTTGATGATGCACACTCCTTCCCCCCTAAGCTCTCGGCGGGGAATAGAAACTCGTCCTCCTCCTTCTCCTTCCCCTCCCTCCGCAGCAGCGGTGGCGGTGGTGTGTCGGAGAGGAGGAGGAGGAGGAGGAGGAGGAGGAGGAGGAGGAGGAGGAGGAGGAGGCCGCCAGGCGTTGAGCGATGGGATTTCTGAGCACTTCTCATGATTTGTCATGATACGAACTACGGAATTGGTCCAGTGGAAAAAGAGACGTATCCATCCGCGCAAGCGTTGCACAATGTGCACAAATGTCCCGAGACAGAGTCGAGATTGTGATTGTCTTTGTGGTCTCAAGTATGAGCGCCGCCTGCCGCATGATAGCGGTTTCGCCATCGAGAGCCTATCGCCGCTCTACCGGCGATCTATATGCCCGGTTTCAGGTCGAGCTCCGTCCCCCCCTGAGCCATCCCCCTTGGCTTTCTGAGCAAAGATAGGGGAACATATTTCTGTTGCTGGCCGCGGGGAGCAAGCTGGTCTGAGGCGGTGTGGCGTCAGCCACTCCGTCCCACGCCGGGAAGGTCTCCGCCCGCAGGCGGGTGCCTCTCCCCCCCGCATCGGGTGTTGCCAGAGGTTAGGGGAACGAGGAATGATTCAAAATTATAGACTCGGAGGTCCGCGCGGATTTCTCGGAGCCGCGCTGGACCCTCCTGGCGGTGCCTCCTCCAGCGCCGCCCCTGGCTCGCTCCGTGCGCCAGGGAGGGGGGTGAAGCGCCGATCCGAGAAATCCGCGCGGACCTCCGAGTTTTTTTGTTTATGTCGTTTTTCGTTAGTATCATTATGGTCAATGAGTTGTTATGTAACCTCATGCCCGTGAGAATAAACACTAGGGGATAATAAAGTTCGGGGCTCAGGGAGAGATAATAAAAGTAGCCCAGCAGACCTCAGCATAATCTCGAAGTAAGAGATGATCAAGAGGAGACCAAGCCGAGCACGTTTTGAGACATCCTTGGCGTTTAGTTTTCATAGAATAAGAAGAGGACGAAGAAAAGAACAATCCAAAGTTCCAAATCTATCAATTTTAATTTACAAACGCTTTATGAAACATGAATTTTTTAAGTGCTCGTGTAGGGTAGCTCATGTGCTTCATTTTCCATGGATAATCAACCCCAGGGATAAAAAAGTTCAGGCGAGCGTGAGGACAGATAGAAATATAAAATAAGAAGAGGAAAGTAGAATAATAATAAGAAGAGAAGAAGAAGAGAAGAAGAAGAAGAGAAGAATAACGGAAAAATGGAAAGTTCAAAATCTATCAATTTTAATTTACAAACGCTTTATGAAAATTGTTTTTTGTTAAGTGCTCATGTAGGGCCCCTTTCCATGGATAATCAACCCCAGAGATAAAAAAGTTCAGGCGCGCGCGGGGATATATACATATATAAAAAGGAAGATAATAATAAAAAATATAAATAAAAAGAAAAAACTTGCTGGTTTAGCTTGAAACATCCTTGAGACATCCTTGAAACATTGCTCGTTTCGTTTGAGTCTGCCTCCCAAAATTATTCGTTTCGCTTGACACATCCTGAAAAAGTGTGATCGCTTCGCTTGATGTTGCTATATCAACATCGCTTGATGTTTCTATCTCAACATAGCGTTTCGAGGTGATAATGAAGTTCGGCCTCAGCGCTCGCCGCCCAAATTGAATTTTGTATAGGGCGACGATAATCAACTCTAAACACTGAAGGGGGGGGTCCCTTTATTATCATCGGCATGCGGTTATATGCCATTTTTGTTCTTATACGTGTTTATGATATTTTAGGTGTATGTCATTGTTCGTTCCCCTAGAGGTGCCCCTGTCCCGAGGTGTCCACCGCTTGTCGCTCCGCTCTGTAGCCCGTGGGGTCCCTCGGAGCTTCGGGAGGGGTGTTTTGGAGGCCATCGAGTCCTCCTGGGAGTCCTGGGGGCACATTTTCGGCCAGGGATACCTCTGACAACACCCGACCTGAGCTAGTTTGTCCCCTCCCCCCCCTCCCCCCCCTTCCCAGACATCCTGCATCCGGCTTTCATCGTGCCCTCCCCAGTTGTCTGGATACTTTCCTGGATACCTGCTTCACATCCTGAGTTGTTTTTCACGTCCTGGGGCCTGGTAAGGGCTCCAAAGCTGAAATATAAACGACACATGTGCGGCGCGATTTTCCGCCACGCGAGGACGTCGTCGTTTTTCTTTGCGGCACGATGAGGTCAGGTCTTCGGCCCCCCAGAAGAACTAGGACGGCGCTGCTCGTCCAGTCGCTGCCGCGCGCCCCCACTTCCCCTCCTCCCTCCTCGTCGTCCCCCCTCCACAGTTTCACTTTACGAACACTACTCTTAAGTTGGGCATGTCCCTCTACAGGGGGAATACTCAAAAATAATCTAAAAATAGTCGGGGGACGATTTTTGATTATTTTCCATTATATTGTGATATATTTTTACTATTTTTCATTTTTCGTCCAAATCCCCCTGTAGGAGCACAAGCCTGACTTCATACTACTCCCCTCTCTCCCCTGGTGGCGTCCGGGGAAAGTGCGCCCCCCTCCGCGTATTGATGCTTTACACGCAGGATTCCCGGGAGGTGGGTTTTCGCTTGGGCTTTTTTCAAAATGCTGCTCTCGCTGAAGCGCTGGCCTCATTTTCGGGCTACCGCTCGTTCCGAATCGTGCTCCCGCTGCAGCGCTGGCGTCATCATTTCCAGCGCCGTGCCACGGCAAGGTCTTCGGTCCCTTCAAATAGGCCCCAACGTCTAGAGAGTGGTTTCCCGAAGAGACCATCGGGAGTGATTCCACATTACGTGTCGATTCGGTGAGGCCGCCGAAGCCCCCCCACCACCGCCTTGAGGCGTCGCCGCGCCATGCTATGTCATGCTGCGCGTTGACATTCGACACCATGCTGTGCCATATAATGCTGCGCCATGCTACGACATCCGATTGTGCGAATAGAGAGGATATCTACGCCATGGTAAAGGATGGGAGGGAGGGATAGGACGCCTAACATGGCGCGAGCGCACCCAGCTTATCCTCCCCCCTCCTCCTCCTCTTCCTCCTCCTCCTCCTCGTCCTCCTCGTCCTCTTCGTCCTCCTCCTCCTCCTCCTCCTCCCTCCTTATTCTCCCTCCTCCCCCCATGCTTCTCTCACTCCTCCCTCCTCGTCCTCCTCGCCCCTCCTCCTCCGCCCCCCTCCTCGTCCTTGTTCTCCTCATCCTCGTCCTTGTCCTCCTCCTCCTCCTCCGCCTCCTCCTCCTCCTCCTGGCCCTCTTTCCTCCTACTCCTCCTGCCCCCTCCTCCTCTCCTCCTCCCCTCCTCCTCCACCCCATCGTCCTCCCTCCGCCACCTCCCTCCTCACTCCCTGCTCCTCCCACTTCCGCCCAGGCCGCGGCGCGACCGCCCGCAGAAGCAGCTGAACGCCAACGCCAGCCGCCCCCCAGGGCAGGCGGAGGTTCAGCGGACGAGCAGTATCTGCCCATGCCGGTGTCCTGGAAGGCCCTCGCCGCCACGGCCGGGGCCGCCTCGAAACCCCGACCGGGATGCACCGCAGGAGAGGTCCGGGGCTCAGCGGTGCGGCACGGGCGTCTTCTTGTGCCACCAGAGGTCCGTCGGCGGAGGGCCCGTCGAGGCAGTGGGCGGTCCTCCCTGTGACGGTCTTCCTCTGGCCTGGGGCCGCGCTGGGGCGTCTCGTCCCTCCTTGGGGGGCCTCCTGGAAGCTCCTGTCTGGGCCCCCCCCCGCGGGAGGAGAGGGACGGAGGAGGAGGAGGAGGAGGAGGAGGAGGAGGAGGAGGAGGAGGAGGAGGAGGAGGAAATAAGGAGGAGGAGGAGGAAATAAGGAGGAGGAGTAGGAGGAGGAGGCAGTCGAGGGAGGAGCGGTTGCACAGTTCAACAGAAGCGTTTAAGAGGTCCCCGCGGAGCTGTCGGGTCGGCGCCGGCCGCCCCATGGCGCGCTCCGCGCACCAGGGAGGGGGGTCCAGCGCCGACCCAAGAATGAGGGGGAGGAGGAGGATCTCAGAGTCCCGACTCATCAGGGGTAACTCGGGTCAGGGCTAACTCGGGTTCGGTTTTCGGGAATCCAAACCCGAGTTACCCCGGACCCGAGTTACCCCGGATAACTCGGGCGTCCAGAGCCCCGAATCATCAGGGGTAACTCGGGTCAGGGCTAACTCGGGTTCCTTTTTTCGGGAATCCAAACCCGAGTTACCCCGGACCCGAGTTACCCCGGATAATTCGGGCGCCCAACCAAGAATGAGGGGGAGGAGGAGGATCCTGGACCACGACAGGGTCCGGCGATCGCAAACGTGGCTCAAGGGGGCGTGGATCGGCGACGGGTCCCGTTTCCGTGGGAAATCGCGGAGTTCCGCCGCCGGACGGTTCTGCACCGGCCGCATTTCGGGGAGGGCACCTCCCCCGATCCATGGATCTGGCGACCGCGCGCCAAATCCATGGATCGCTAATCTATGTTTGCGCGCCCCCGATCTCAGGAGCTCCCACGAGCTCCCAGTGAGCGCGGCTTGACAACCGGGCGATCTGGGCCCTCGCGGGCCCTGCAGCCCTGCATCTCGCGGGGCTGCACGAGCCTTGGGGTGCTCCAGTGCGTGCTGAAAGCACGGTGGCGGATATGTAAGGGCCAGCTTTCATCACAAGATGTCCCGTACCGAGGAGGAGGATGGGGGAGGAGGAGGAGGAGGAGGAGGAGGAGGAGGAGGAGGAGGAGGAGGAGGAGGAGGAGGAGGGGGAGGAGGAAGATCGAGGACCCTGCATTTTGTCTCGTCGGGAGAGTGTTTTTGTGACCCTCCGGGCCATGACGCGCGTTGTGTCCCCCCTTCCCCCCCGGCTCCCCCTCCCACAATTACCGTAGCGCACCCCCCACCCCCCAGTGCGCCTGGCACCACAGTCTGTCACGGTGTAGGGGGCGGGGGCGTCACGTTATGCCCCCCCCCCCCCTTGCCCCCGCCCCCCCCCCCCTCCCTGCTCCCACAAATGACGCCCTTCTCCGCTACGTCCGGCTGCCACGGGGCGGAAATTCGGTCAGTTATTCCTGATCAACAGGTGTTTCAAACGTCATCCCATCGGGGGGGATGTCGGGGGGGATAGGAGGCCACATGCGAACCCGACTCCTACCCCCACGACTTCTGAGGGGGAGGGTGGGGTTCACTTCGTTCGGGAGCTCCCGAGCGAAGTGAACCCTGCCCTCCCCCTCAGAAATCGTGGGGGGGTAGGGGTAGGGCTCGCATGTGGCCTCCTATCCCCCCTGCGCTCCAATCTTCTCCCTCAAAAAAAGAGATAAAGATGACGCCCGTCCTCGCCGCGAACAAGAGGCACGCATGCCTTGGCTCCTGCATGCGGGAGACCGAGGGCCAGGCGCGGCGGGGTGCGGAGGGGGGGGGGATCCTTGGGGCCATCCTGGTGTTCCCCAGGAGCAGGGGGACCTGTGGGGGGGGGGGCGACGAGCAAAAAAGACCGAACGACGTCTAAAACACAGGGCTCCGAGTGGGGGGGGGCGACGAGCAAAAGACCGAACGACGACTAAAACACAGGGCTCCGAGCTCCAGAACTCAGCTGTGCAAGACCGTCGGGCATCCGCAAGGCCGGTCGACAGAGGGGCGGCCCTCCCTGGCGTCTTGCCTCCGGTCTGGGCCTCCTGGAGGCCTCATCGCCGCCGCGGCTGGATCCGCCTCGAAAAGCGGGCCAGGATGAAGCCCTGGATTGGTCCAGGGACCGATTATGTGCAGATTTGCGCGGGGCGGGAGAGCCGCCGTTGTCTCAGTTGGCCCTCCGGCCATTCACCGAGCGACAGATCTTCCTGACAGCCGGCAATGCGTGGGCCCACCAATCGGTTGGGGACCAGTTGGTCTCAGATTGCTCGCTCAAGCGACTCGAGTCCTTCGGTATTATTTGGGGTTGGAACTGGTTCTGCGCAGCATGTGGCTGTGTAGTTTCTCAGCAGCTTGAGCAGCTCGGGGATGCATGTTCTGAGTCCGTCACTGGCACTCGGAAGGACTACCTCGATAGAACATCCCGAGGCTTGATGCCCAAAGTTCGCAGGAAGGCCGAGCTGGCCAGCAGGAAGCAACGGGGTATTTGGTTTATCCAGCCTGCAAGCGACACTGCCGCTACACCCGAACTCACGGACCCCTACTCCTTCAGGCCGACGTCGCCCTCGCCCTCGTTGTCGTCCCCCGCCGATCCACGGAAGCGTTGAAGGCTGACGAGTGATGTTTGGGAGCGGCACCCCGTCGCGGGCCCTGGTCAGAGTGAGGGAGGCTCCGCCCTCCAGGGTAGCAAATCCCTCGCTGACGGGTGCCGATCCCCCCCGGTATGGTTTGCGCCCTGCGAGCCTCCTCCCCTCGGGACCGTGCGAACCTAACCTCAACGGCCGACGTCGCCCTCGCCCCATCCCCCCCCCGGGCGCGGAGGCAGCCGTGTGGACCCCCGCCGCCGCCGCCGCGCACGGCGCGCTGCCCGCCGTGGATCCGCTTGCAAGGGCGCTGACGGCGCAGGCCGCGGGCGGGCGGCCGTCGTTCACGCCAGCGCCTCCCCCGAGGCCCAAGAGGAGGGGGTCAAATTCAAGCGGAGGTCCTCCCTCCTCCTCGTCCTCCTCCTCCACCTCCTCCTCCTCCTCCTCCTCCACCTCAACCTCCTCCTCCTGCTCCTCCTCCTCCTTCTCCTCCTTCCTCCTCCTCCTCCTCCTCTCCTCCGCTCCGCCTCCTCCTCTTCCTCCTCCTCATCCTTCTCCTCCTCTTCCTCCTCCTCCGCCTCCTCCTCCTCATCATCATCAACTTCCTCCTCCTCCTCTTCCTCCCCCTCCCCCTTCTCCTCCTCCTCCCTCCTCCTCTTCCTCCACCTCCTCCTCCTCCTCCTCTGCTCCCCTCCACCTCCCCTCCTCCTCCTCCTCCTCCTCCTCTCCTCCTCCTCCTCCTCCTCCCTCTCCCCCCCCTCCTCGCCGAGCCGCCCGCCTCACCCCTTCCCCCCGAAAGCTCCGACTCAAGGCTCAAGAGACGGGGGTCACTGCAAATGGGAGTCAGTCAGAGCGCCAGATCCTGCAGGGATCTTGCAGGGCCAGGGCTGCACTGGCCCGGGGTTGTGCGTGCAGGACCTGGCGGGATGTTGCAGGACGTTGCAGGATCCCGCAGCGCCCGATTGGCCCTTTTCAACAGATCCCCGTCCCTCGACGCCGGCCGGCCGCTCGATGCTCCGCGGCGCGCCGAGGGTCGACGGCGACATCCGAACCCTGCCCTCGCCGATCATCAGTTACCAGCCTCGAACGTATCCCTATCCCTAAGATTGACACGCCAAAAGGCCATGACAATCTTAGGGATTCGCCCTCAAAACATAAGGAAATCCCTAAGATTGGCATCGTGATGAGGAGGTGCCCAGCATAGGGATAGGGATATGTTCCAGGCTGGTAAATCAGAGGAGGAAAGGTACCCATATCCCTACCCTTCCCTCGCTTTCCCCATCTTGGGCCTCCCGGGAGGCCCTCGTCGCCACCGCCGGATTCGCCCCGACATTCTAGTCAGAACGTGCCCCGAGAGAGGTCCAGGGAGTAGCCGTATACTGGTACCTTTTTGCTTCCCCAGATCAACGGCTCAGGCGAGTCGATGGGCGGCGGGGGTAGGGGTCGGAATTCGTCGAACGTGTGGCGAAATCCGAGCCCTACCCCCGCCTCCCATCGATTCAGCAGTTGGTGTGGGTAGGATTCGGATGTCGCCCCCTAGAGGGGGAAAGTTCTTGGCACGGATGATAGTCATGGAGCACTGGAGTCAGCATAAACATGCATTCTCGGAGCTCCGCGCGGATCTCTTGGATCGGCGCTGGGAGCCCTTTGCGGCGCCCCCAGCACCGATCCAAGACATCCGCGCGGATCTCCGAACATGTAACTCTGTGTATCGGTCGCACATCATGTGAGCCTCATCTCTCCTCGTAGTTCCGTATTTGGAGTGCATTCGCGTGCGCCAGCGTTTGGTAATCGATGAGAAAGCGCCGATTTGCCGTCGATGAGCGTTGATTTTGTGTCGATTAGCGTCGATCAGGATCCACTCAGCGTTGATTAGCGTCGACTCGCAAGAATCAGCAAGACGGCATGGGAGGCTCCCATGGGCTGCCACCGAAGGGGGAAGTGAGAGGGGGCAGGTCTTCTCAGAGGGCGGTGGAGCTTTTCAGAAGATCCGTGGCATTCGGAGAATTTGTTTGTGTCTTCGGGGAAGGCTCAGAAAACTTCTCAGAAGGCTCGAGGCCTTCCGAGCCTTCTGAGAAGGCCCGCCCCGTTTGACTCCCCCCCTGGGCTTGCCGTCGACTGAGGACCTACGAGGCGGGAGACCTTCTGAGCCTTCTGAGAAGGCCGGTCAACTCTGCCTTCCCCCCAGGCGCGCTGCCGCTTGCTGATGCCGCAGCGTCGTCATCGTCGTCGTCGTCGTCGTCGACGACGACGTTCCTGACTTTCTCGCGTGGTGAAGAGACCGGTTTTTCTTCCCCCGGGGGTCCTCACGGGCCCCCCGGGACCCGCAAAAAACGGCCCGGGATGAACGGCCGGCCCCGTTGGTCCAGACCTCCAGGAGCCCACGCTGTAGACATAAAAAGCACGTCGGAGTTTTGGGCCTGTGGGGCCACGTCAGGGGGGGGATTTACACTATCGACGGTGGTTGGAGCATTTCTCAGGAGGGAAAAAAGCACAGACACAATTAATCGTCGATCCCCCCAGAAAACGTGGGAAAAAATATCGGAATTGGAGGGGAAGGCAGAAAGCCAGAAAGTATGGGAAAATATGGGGGATCCTTTTATTTGTGTGTGTATCTATTTGTGTGTCCCAGGGCCCCTTCAAAAAAGCACGTCGGAGTTCTGGGCCTGTGGGGCCACGTCAGGGGGGGGATTTACAGGATCGACGGTGGTTGGAGCATTTCGCGCGTTCCCACTGGTTCTCGACAGTCAAAAACCCTGATAAGGACGCGCGACTTTGCTCAGGGTACCCTTGCGTCCTTGCTCTTCCTTGCTCTTGCGTCCCTGGGGCTTTCGCCGCCCGCCGCCCCAACAAAAATCCCAGCTTCGGCTTCCAAGGGTCTTGCGTCCTTACCGCGCGTCCTTATTAGGGTTTTTGACTGGATCGACGGTGGTTGGAGCATTTCGCGCGTTCCCATTGGTGATGGTGGTAATATCCTGGCTTCCAAGGTGGCCGAAATATTACCACCAATACCGAAATCTAGGATCGTCTTCCCCCTGTGGAGGCAACGCCCTGTGCTGGTGTTGGTGCCCATTTCCAGGCCTCCAACATTATCGACGGTGGTTGGAGCATGTCGCGCGTTCCCATTGGCTCTCGACGATGGCCCCCCTCCTCGGGATGGCTCCCAGCAGCCGCGGGCCGTCGCGGGCGGCCGCCGGCGGCCCAGGTTGTGGCCCGAAGCCAGGACAGACTCCTCTGGCCTCCTCCTCCTCATCCTCCCCCTCCCCCCCCTCCTCCTCCTCCTCCTCCTCCTCCTCCTCCTCCTCCTCCTCCTCCTCCTCCTCCTCCTCCTCCGCCTCCTCCTCCGCCTGGGGTCTCGTTTGGAGCGCTCTCGAGGGCCTCGTGGGCGCGGTTTCCTTGGGGGCCTCCTGGGAGCCTCGTGGGGAGCGCTCGGGGCCTCCTGCAGGGCCTCTTCGGGGCCTCTTGCGGGCCTCTTGGGGGCCTCTTGGGGAGCTCTTGGGGGCCTCCCGGGGCAGGGTGGTCTGGGCCAGCGTGAGGGGGGGGACGGCCCCATGGGGGGGGGGGCGACGCAACGCCCCTCGGTCGCCCATTCGTCGCCAATACAGCCGGGGCTCAAAGACGTGGATCCACGCAAACGGGGGTCGGCCAAGGCGCCGGATCCTGCAGGACCCTGTCTCTTCGCTCCCCCGCTTACCGGCCCCCCATCCAGCAAGCAACGCCCATGGGGCCCCGGCGGACACCGGGCCGCGCACTGGGCTTCCCCGGCGCCCAGGTCGCGAGCCTGATGGAGCAGTTGCAGGCTCGCGTTTGCAGAGAGACATCGAGGGAGAGAGTGAGAGAGAACGAGGAGCTCCTCCCCCCCCCTCGGAGAAGGAGAAGCCCCAGACATGCGGTGCCCTGTTTTTGTTCAGCACGGGGTCGCTGGAAGTCCCGACCCCTTCCCTGGGATCGGTGGTTCGTCCCGAGTCGCTTTTCAACGGTCCCGGGGCCCGACGAGGGCCCCCGGAGGCCGAAAACGGCCAAAAACTTCCCGTCTCGATTTTTCACGGCACGCTCGTCTCTGGGGCAGCATCGGCTTATACAAAAATATGTTTCTGGTTACTCTTTCGGAGATCCGCGCGGAGGCCCCTGAATGTGGCCCCCCGCTGTCCCTCCCCCGTCGTGGCACCCCATGGCTGCCCCCAAAGAGCACAGGAAACAAATGATTGCCAGCGCCTCCTCGTCCTCCTCCTCCTCCACCACCTCCTCATCCCCCTCCTCCTCCGCCTCCTCCTCCTCCTCCTCCTCCTCCTCCTCCTCCTCCCGCCTCCTCCTCCTCCAAACAGTAGGGTATTTCACTGTGGATGTGCAAGCGCTGTGTGGTGCAGCCATGTCGTGCAAGCGCGGTGTGCGGCGAGCTGTGCGGGGCAAGCCATGTGTGTTGCCAGCTCGGTGGTGCAGGCGCTGCGCTGCGAAGTCTGCGCGCTGCAGCAAGCTGCGTGGTGCAAGTTATGTGCAGCTGTGCCCAGGTGGTGCAAGCTGTGTGGTGCAGGCTATCTGTTGCAATAGAAGTGGTGGACTCTGCGTTGCTCAAGCTGCGTGGCGCAAGCTATGTGGTGCAGGGCCTGGAAGTCTGGGCAGTACAAGCTGCTTGGTGCAGGTTGTGTGGTTCAATCTGTGTGGCGCAGCCTATGCTTTGCACGTTGTGTGGCGCAAGCTATTTGGTGCTCTGTACGCTGTAGAACCTGCACGGTGCAGGTTGCGTGGGCCAAGCTGTGTGGTGCAAGCTGTGCGGTCTACTCTATGCGGTGGACCCCTTGTGATGCAAGCTATGCGGTGCAAACTGAGCAGTGCAGTCCACGCGGTGCAAGCTTTGTGGCGCAGGCTGCGCGTAAGCTGTTTATTGCGGCGACGGGCGGGCACGGGGGCCGCCTCCGTGCCCGCAGGCAGGGGCTCCGTCCGGAAGGCTCGGCTGCGACCGACGGGAGCGGAGCCGCCGGCCCCGCAGGCGTGCCCAGCTCCTTAGACTTGGCATCGCTCGGACGTGTGCATTTATTTCTCGGCGAGAACCATCGAGGACCACCCTGGACCATCGAGCAAACAAAACCACGCACGAAGCCGAAACGTGCATGGGAAATGGACGTCCGAGCGACGGCGAGTAGAGGGGAAGCAAGGAAGAGCCCCGAAGGGCAAGCACGGTCTGGGGGGAGAAGGACGTGAAGACAAAACCCAGAAAAGATAGGGAAAGATTGGGAATATTTCTATATATATATATATATATATATATATATATATTCATTTGTGTGTCCTGGGGCCCCTTGAATTTCTGGGGGTAGCAGTAGTCCCAGGGGCCTTTTAGTCCATGGGGGGCCCGCAGTCCAAGGTTCGGGCCCTGGGGGGGGCCCTTGTGGTTTGGGGGGGGTCTTGTAGTCGGGGGGGGGATCCTGTAGTTCAGGGTTGGGGGGGGAGCGCCGAGGAAGCCTTGTCGGCCCCACGCGTGGACAATTACCGCGCAAGTGTAACGCCACACGCGTGGAACACCGCGCGCGCACTCAATCCCATGCGCCTGGAACCCCGCTCGCGTGGGTTCCAACGCGCGCGGAAGCCACCCCCTTCAACGCCCAGCGCTTTCCAACTGGAAGGGTGCCCGTACAATCGGACCGAGGTGTAAGATCGAGGTCGGTTCGGGGAGGGTCACCTAATGTTGTGTTTGTGTGTGTGTGTGTTTGTTGGATGTTTTTGTGCATCCTGGAGAGGGTATCGTTGGATGTTCTCGTTGTTTTGGGCGACGGAGGACCTCATGTTCTTGCAGGGGGTTCGCCGCCTGTAGCTTGGGGAGGGGTTCCTGCTGTATGGAGGGGTGTTGCGCCGCCTGTGGTCAGGGAGGGGGGGGGGGGGGCGTGCAGTCCTGGGGGGTGAGCACATCCAACTTGTAGAATGGGCTTCGCTGATTCGTAGGATGCATGCCGCCCGAGTGTGGGGCGGGAGCCCTCGCTGCGAGCCCACGCTGCGTCGCAGCGTGGCCTCGCAGCGCGGGCTCGCAGCGCGGGCGCGCAGGCTAGCCCCGCAGCGTGGGCGCGCGCCGCGAGGCCGCGTGGCAGTCCAGCCCGTAGCCCTTCGAGGTTGCGCCTGGGCCCGCTGTGCGCAGTGGTGAGCATGAAATCGACCGTGGCGAGCACGAGTTCGAGTGTGTATGTGTGTGTGTGTGTGTGCTTGTGTGTGCGTGTGCGTGTTTGTGTGCGTGTGCGTTTTTGCGCGTGTGTGTGTGTGTGTGTGTGTGTGTGTGTGTGTGTGTGTGTGTGTGTGTGCGCGTGTATGCATATGCGTGTGCGTGTGCGTGTGCGTGTGCTTGTGCGCGCGCGTGCGTGCGACACATTCGCGCGCGCAAGGTCTCTGGACAATGCTTTCCCTTCGGGGAACACGGCAGAGAACGAGGGTAGGAGAAGGCAAGCGTGTGAGGAGGGCGAGGAGGGGGGATGGAGGGTGAGCGCGAGGAGGTCGGTGGGCGGGAGGAGGAGCTCCTCTTTTTTGATTATTCTTCCTGCTCCTCGTCCTCCCCTCGGATCCCCAAGATCTTCTCCTGACAGCCCAACACGATCAACAAAAACCCTCCACGGCTTCTCTTCTTCCTCCCTTTCCCCCCTCCTGCTTCTCTGCTTCTCGTCGTCCGCCTCCTGCTCCTCCTCCCTCTCCGCTGCTCTCTTCTCTCTCTGCTCCCCATCTTGTCCTCTGTACTCCTCGTTATCTTGTTTTCTTTGTTTTCTCTCTCTCTCTCTTTCTATCTCTCTCTCTCTCTCTCTCTGTGTTTCTCTCTCACTGTCTCTGATTTGGGCTGTCTCCTCTTCTCTTCTTCTCATCCCCTCTCTCTCTCTCTCCCCTCATGGCGGCCAGGTGACCTTCAACTGCGGCAGTGCGAAGGTGAAGGTGGAGGCCCGCCGTTCCGGAGCGGCGGGCGGCGGGGTCGGCCCGCGTGCTTACCGACGTGAGAGCACCGCGGTAAACAGTTGTCACCCGTGTGCTGTCTCGTGTGTGTGCGTGTCGTGCGCGCTCGGGGTCCCCCTGAGCGGCCTCGCTCCCCTCCCTCGGATGTGGATGGACCTCCTACCCTGACACGTCGATTAAGGAATTGGCCGTTTTCGGTTCGCGAGAGGGGGCCGCGGCCGTCATTTCTGCGGGCCCAGGTCCGTCGGTTTCGGTCACGGTTTCCTGAGCGGGAAGCACTGGCTCCGGCCGTCCCGCGGCCCGCGGCCCGCGGCCCGCTCCTCCTCCTCCTCCTCCTCCTCCTCCTCCTCCTCCTCCTCCTCCTCCTCCTCCTCCCTCCTCCTGCCTCCTGCCTCCTCCCCCAGGCCGTTTTCACTAAGGGGAGGTTTACTAAAGGGAGGCTTGTCCACTGCCGACTCCCGCCCCCCCTCCTCCGGCCGCCTCCTCTGCCTTGCCCCCCTCCTCCTGCATGGGGGCACACTTTTGCTGCAACGGCACCCCTGTTCAGGCAGCTCTTCGCCAGCGCGGTTACTCTGCCTAGCCGCCGACGCAAAAGAAGTGTGTGCGTGTTGTGTGTTTGTTTTGTTTTCTCTCTCTCTCTCTTTCTCTTTCTCTCTCTCTCTCTCGGCGTCGAGCAAGGGGGGGAAGTGAGAGGAAGTAGGCCTTCTCAGGAGGCCGCGGGGCTTCGCCCGGAGCCCTCCCAGTGCCTCCTGGGAAGCGGCCCGCGTCTTCGGTGGGAGAGCCCGGGATACTTCCCAGAAGGCCGGGGGGGAACCTCCGAGCTTTCTGAGAAGGCCCGCCCCTTCTCATTTCTCCCCCGTGCTCGCCGCCGACTCTCTCTCTCTCTCTCTCTCTGTCTCTTTATCTCTCTCTCTGGCTCTCCCTCTCGCTCCCGCCCTGTTTTTCTCGAGGGAGGGGGGCGGGCATGCACGCATGCGCCAGCACCCTGCAGCACTTGAGCACGACGGGCGCGCGTGCCGTCGCTTCGGCCCCACGGAGCGATCCAGCTCGAGAAACGCCGCAAGCAGATGGGGTCGATGGCCTTAGTTACAGTGAGCTCACTCCGTGCCTTTTGCACGACGTCGGATCTCGTGGCCGAGCGTTGAGAGAGGGGGTGCTGTCGGGCCGCTGAAGAAGGAACCCTTTTCGTTGGGGATTTGGTTTAGTGTTCCCTAATTGTTCCCAACCATCCTGTGGTGTTGGGTCCTCGTTTTGAAGAGACGGTGCCCCGCGTTCCTTCCTTCCTTCCTCCCGCTGCCTCCTCCCCCCTCCCATCATCATCATCATCATCATCATCATCATCATCATCATCATCATCATCATCATCATCATCATCATCATCATCATCAACACCCATTTCGGCACACCCCTCACACGTTTCGTGGCTCCATAGGGAGCTCCACCGAAGGCCCCAGTGCCCGCGGCCGCATGCGTCCCCCACACCCATTTCGGCACACCCCTCACACGTTTCGTGGCTCCATAGGGAGCTCCACCGAAGGCCCCAGTGCCCGCGGCCGCATGCGTCCCCCACACCCATTTCGGCACACCCCTCACACGTTTCGTGGCTCCATAGGGAGCTCCACCGAAGGCCCCAGTGCCCGCGGCCGCATGCGTCCCCCACACCCATTTCGGCACACCCCTCACACGTTTCGTGGCTCCATAGGGAGCTCCACCGAAGGCCCCAGTGCCCGCGGCCGCATGCGTCCCCCACACCCATTTCGGCACACCCCTCACACGTTTCGTGGCTCCATAGGGAGCTCCACCGAAGGCCCCAGTGCCCGCGGCCGCATGCGTCCCCCACACCCATTTCGGCACACCCCTCACACGTTTCGTGGCTCCATAGGGAGCTCCACCGAAGGCCCCAGTGCCCGCCGCCGCATGCGTCCCCACACCCATTTCGGCACACCCCTCACACGTTTCGTGGCTCCATAGGGAGCTCCACCGAACCGCATGCGTCCCCACACCCATTTCGGCACACCCCTCACACGTTCGTAGGGAGCTCCACCGAAGGCCCCAGTGCTGCGCCGCATGCGTCCCCACACCCATTTCGGCACACCCCTCACACGTTTCGTGGCTCCATAGGGAGCTCCACCGAAGGCCCCAGTGCCCGCGGCCGCATGCGTCCCCACACCCATTTCGGCACACCCCTCACACGTTTCGTGGCTCCATAGGGAGCTCCACCGAAGGCCCCAGTGCCCGCGGCCGCATGCGTCCCCCACACCCATTTCGGCACACCCCTCACACGTTTCGTGGCTCCATAGGGAGCTCCACCGAAGGCCCCAGTGCCCGCGGCCGCATGCGTCACCCACACCCATTTCGGCACACCCCTCACACGCTTCGTGGCTCCATAGGGAGCTCCACCGAAGGCCCCAGTGCCCGCGCCCGCATGCGTCACCCACACCCATTTCGGCACACCCCTCACACGTTTCGTGGCTCCATAGGGAGCTCCACCGAAGGCCCCAGTGCCCGCGGCCGCATGCGTCACCCACACCCATTTCGGCACACCCCTCACACGTTTCGTGGCTCCATAGGGAGCTCCACCGAAGGCCCCAGTGCCCGCGGCCGCATGCGTCCACCCACACCCATTTCGGCACACCCCTCACACGTTTCGTGGCTCCATAGGGAGCTCCACCGAAGGCCTCAGTGCCGCCGCCCGCATGCGTCACCCCCACCCATTTCGGCACACCCCCCGCATTTCTCGCACGGCAGGGTCATCACCACCGAGTAGTCCGCGGCCAGACCATCCCTCGGTCCTGTGGACTCTCGCCCTGGGCCGTCGGCTGCCCGGCGCGCTGCTCCCTCGGTCGACGTCGCCCAGGCGTGATCCTGGATTGCGGCCGCCACGAGGTAGGGAACGGCTAGAAGGAGGACGACGACTGGTGGCTGGAGCTCTACGTGCTGCTCTCGCGCGCCACGCGCCACGAGGACCTCCTGCTCATGCGGGCGCCGCGCATCGAGTTATTCCTGGCAGGGCCGCCGCAGGGCTTGCGGAAGCAGCTGGAGCAGTTTGCGGCGCGCACGAAGCGGTGCAGGAGGGAAGCGACGGCCCTCGCCAGGGAGCTCGGCTTCACCGAGTTCATCCGCGAGGCCTGACCTGAGGAGCGTCTCCCCCGAGCCGCGCCTTCTCTCGACTGCCCGACTAATTGTTTGGCCTCGCGCCGCGGACGACCCGCGCGCGTCGCTGGGACCCTCTCGGGGCGACCAGCGCGCGTCGCGGGAACTCCGTGCTGCGGGGGGCCCGGCGCCTCGTTCGCCCGTCGTCGCTCTGCCCAGCGGTCAGAGACTTGCCCGCTATCAGCCAGCCAGTTAGCTAGTCAGCTCTCTCTGCTTCGCGCAGCGGACGACCCGCGCGCGTCGCTGGGACCCCGCCCGGGGCGACCAGCGCGCGTCGCGGGGACTCCGCGCTGCGCTGCGCCCGCAGCCTTGGATTTTGGAGTGCGCGGGCAAAGAGGAAGGAAAAGAAGAGCCGAAAGCGGGCGCGATCCTCGCAAGAGGCGTGCCGACATGGGCGTCGCGACGTGCGGACGCTGCCGTCGGGGTTCCCGCGGAAGCTGCCTGCGGCGGCCACGCCCAGTGTCACGTGTGTTCGGACAGGCATGCTCGACACTTACACTAGGCGGTTCCATGATCGCATTCATGCAAATATATTCACTCGCGCGCAGACCCATTCATACTCAGATTCCCTCGCGCTCTGACTCACCCGCGTTCTTTCTCTCGTAATCAGATCTATCGTATTCCTTTGCGTTGTGTACCCCGCCACATTTCGGCACACCCCTCATGCGGTTCGTGGCCCCGTAGGGAGCGCCACCGAAGAAGATACTCACAATTGCGATATTCACAACTGCATATGGTTGGGTCCTTCGCCCGGATAATTTTTTAGAGTGTTCACAGGTTTTCCTTCGATGTTTCATTGGACATCGAAGTTTAACT